AATATTTTATATGCCCGTAAAAATTTACATAATTTCAATAAGAAAGAAGATATCCATAATATTAACCTTAGAGCTAAGTCCAAACTCATGGTACCACGATTTCGTTTAACCAAGGTAAACAACTCTTTTATGGGGAACTGTATACGTTTTTACAATAAGATTCCGGAGCATATATTAAGTTTATCATTTCCTAAGTTTAAAAACCACATTAAAAATATTTTGATCGAAAAATCATATTACAAAATTGAAGACTACGTGTTAGATAAAGATGTATGGAAAGACGACATGGCTCCAGAATCCACACAAATTTGATTCAAAGTGTATTCCATAGCATTTAAGTTTATTTGAAAAGAGCAATCCCTAGAGTTTCTTGCTCGTTCTTCTCAGGGAGGTCAGCGTAGTGAACGAGCAGTAGCTTAAATGTAGCTTAAATGTGACGTTTTCAAGTGTAAATTAATTTTACCTATGGAATAAATAATCTTTGACTTTGACTTTGAAAAGTGGTCTTATAATTATTAATACAAAGATCGAACACTCAGAAAAAACGCTCAGAAAAAATTCCTTCGATCCGGTCGGATTCGAACCGACGTCTTCTTGCATACCGTGCCAGATAGATTTTAGAGCGCGTTCACACAGTATGAACTTCATGTAAGACCGGGCCGAGTCCGTGACACGGCCGAGGCATGGTTGGTGCACGGTGTCGAGTATTATTTTCCCGGTTCCAACCCGGTCCGATCGCGACCTTCTTAATATGAATGCATTCGCCAGGCGGGTGCAAGGCAGGGAAGTCAACGTTGGACTATAGTGTAGTGGACAGCGAAAGCGCAAAATGCTCTCAACATCTATTAAATCTTTGAAAAGCGTGGCAAATTCTACTTCGGATTCTCCTTTTCTCCACTACACGTGTATACACTATCTTTTTTAACCGACTTCAAAAAAAGGAGGAGGTTCTCAATTCGGCTGAATGTTTATTATTTTTTTTGTATGTATGTTACGCGGTAACTCCGGTATTTGTGAATCGATTTTCATGATTCTTTTTTTGTTGGAAAGAGGGTACCTCCATAGTGGTCCCATTTAGCTTTGAAGAAAATCATCCACCTCTAAGGGTGGCTGTTCACGCACGAAGATTCATTTTTATAAATAGCGCCTAAATTTTATTATAAGGAGCAATTATTTTAATAATTGATTTTGCTATTCTCCAATTCAAGGCCTTTTGCTCTCTCAATATACTTTGAGTAGTGAGAACCGATTTTCATTATCTCCTGTGTCAAGTCTCGTATAGTGGCGAACTAGGGTATGAATCCGGGTTTGCGCACTTTTCGGTAACCGATTTCAATAAAACTTGGTAATTATATGTAATTCCACGCACTTTTGAGGTCGGTTTTTTTTAGTACTCTGTCCAACTGAGATTACTCTAGTGTCAATTTGTGTTTCCAATACTTCGTCATCAAGAACTATTGCAATAGCTGCCGACTCAAGTTGTGGAAATTGCGTTAATAACACAACCTTATCACTCAAGAGAAAAATGGAAAATAACATAACTAACCCGGCCGGCGCACGGTGGAAACGACACGGCACTATGACGATCCGGACCCGGCACGGTATGCCTTAAAACTTTTTTTAATTTCAATAGCTCCACTATTCTACTATAGTAATGATTCAGATTCAGATTAATTTATTTCTCATATATAACGTTACAGTATAAATTGCACTACATGTCAAAGTATAAGAAATTATATTGAGATCGTCAGACAAAAAGGAAAATTATAAGAAAAGCACACAAGAATTAGAAAATTAACAATTCATTATATAATATTGTTGTCATTAAATTACATATCAATGATCATTCTCCATCAAGGATCGTCATAAGTTGATAACAATTATACAAGAGTATGTTAATGCGGTAAAAATTAGAATAAAAATAGAAAATACTGAGTTCGTTACAATTTAATGTCCATAAATTCTTTTACAGAGTATATAGGATTTTTCAAGAAAAGGTCTTTCAGCCGGCGCCTAAGGAGTAGCGGGTAAACGCTCATAGTAGGTAGGTCCGATGACAATTTTCTCTGCAAGTGCCATGCGTCGAGGGACTGTTCCCAAATGACCGGTACGGCGAAGTGGGATACCAGAAACATTTACAGTACCATATGAAGACAGATTATTTCTAACGTACATTATAATTTCGTATAAGTAGAGTGAGTAGTGCGTCATTATGTGTTGCGCTACAAAGAGATTTCTGCAGGAATGTCTGTGTTTTACCCCAACCAATACGCGTACGGCACGTTTTTGCATTAGCATGACTCTATTGGCATCCGTGGAGTTACCCCATATGAAATGACGCAGGCTCTTGGGATTACGACGTTCAATTCAGTGATTCTTACCTTATTCCAGCAAAGTCGAGGTAAATAAATTATGCTTTTTCACAAACATGCTTGGAAACACCAACTGGCCACCGTGGATTCGATCGACAATCTTGAATACCGCCGTAAAGTTCCTTGCTTATCGGTATTCTACAGGGTATACCACGAAGAGTGTCATTTGATTCCGCCTTCGCCTTTCCATCATCGGGGGACTAGATGTGGGCTGGGATTCCACCCCTATATAGTGGATATTCCCAGGATCGCACGAAGCGTTTCGCTTTCACAATTATATGGCGAGCGGCTAGAGAGTGGAATTCCCTACCTGCGGACTTATTCCCCGAACGCTATAACTTGGACCTTTTCAAGACGAGAGTGAATAGGCATTATTTAGGTGTGCATGCTACATCGTCGACCTCATCATCACTTTCCATCAGGTGGTATTTAAAAAAAATGCATTACTTTCAAAAAGCAAAGTTCGTCATTTATGGACCGTGCGACTTCTTCCCGGCCAAAGCCTTCAAAGTATGAAAATCTATTACTGTCCACAGCTCCAAACATTAAAAACTAACTATGTAAACCATTGACTTACAATTATATGGACGTCGGGTCCGCGCTAAAAAGTGTCCGCACTTGTAAGGCGCTAAAATCGTATACAGAGCGCCAAACTCCGCTTTAGTCTTCATTTGTTCTACTGACAGCGGGATACTGCGATGACATTACAATTTAAATTTCGAATAGGTTGACTTGGGACATTTTTTTCGTGGTTTTTGTATTAGACCCGTCGTCCATTTATTTGTAAGTCAATGATGTAAACAGACGAAAGAAAAACTCAGCCAATTGCCAAGTGTTCCTAATTGCGAGAATTAAAATTATAAAAATACCGTTTACTTTTTTTTAGAAAAAGAGGCGGTAAATTAAAATATAGTGCTTTTTTGTATTTTTGAATGATTAAATTTTCAGTTTTAATTGCATTACATTCTAAACTTCTTAATTTTTTGTTACCATTGGAAATTTTGGATTTTCGTCGCGAAAACTGGGAAGAGCGATAACGGAACCATTGAATTGAGCTTCATAATCTCAAGATCCTTTCTTTCTACGTCATTAACTATAGTAAAATTGTACGTAAAGCTGATGAAATAAAAAAAAAACATCGTTTTTCAACACGGGTTTTAGCTTTCATCGTCGTTGGGATCCAGTCATGAGCATATTATTATGCGAGTGATTTTCCCAGCAGTGATTTTTCCGCGGCGTGGTCGAAAGTCGTGTTATAAATTTCCAAAATAAATATGTGATGTTTTTTGTAGTTAAGTATATCTAAATCTTCACATGGAGCCACTAAAGAAAATGTCTAATTCCTTAAATTCCTGCGTCGACGTTATAGTATATTTATAATTTTTATTAGTCCTGATTTCTAATTTGGGTGACGCGTCCACAACCCGTGTCTCAAACTTGTTTTCATGATTGAAAAAAAATCGAACCACATTTTGAAGAAATACTGGTACACCCGCATTCTCAGTGAATATTACTGTCTGTAATTAGATAAATGATTAATTAAACGGTCTAATATAAAGTAATATCGTGCCAAGAACAATCGTCCGCACGAGGAGCCTAATATTGGTGATCCATTTTAAATGCTCACTAGCAAATACTGTAAGCTTTCAACAACTTACCGATTACTACTAACCCGCTACTTCTAGAGTCGCGTTAATGCGCAGTGTGATCGGTAGTGCGGAGATCGTTGTTGTTTTCAATGTTGATTTTGGGTGTGTTTTTTAAAATAACTTTTTGCTAATTTTGCAATTTTGGTGATACAATTTTGATGATTTATCTGTGTTCACCAAAATTGTATTTTATCACCAAAATTACAAAGGAAGTAGTTTTCTCTGTCATAATAACACTATTGTTGGCTACAAATCAAGAATGTTGGTAAACAAATTTAGAAAATGTATAATCATGAATAATAATGACTCTTTTTTTGATAAGGTCGCCAAAAGTGCAAACAAGACATATTATCTTTTAAGTACTTGACATTTTAAAGGGCTGATAATATATTCTATAATATTTACTTAAAACACAAAATTAAAAATTGTCACCAAAATTAGGTAAAAAACCGTACCTGTTGAAAATGCCTTATGTAAGCGACATCGAATATTGCCCGACAAGTTGCCGGATATCGCGGGTGTTGTGTGTTAGTCTAGTGACAACTCTAGTGCACAAATAAATAATGAAGACCAAGTGCGGACATCCGCCTTTTTATCCCTTCGATACCATGGACATTCAAACACGTCCAAAGCGTCTTGGCAAATAAAATATGTTTTATACACGACAAAATCCCGATTTCAAAATCAAACAATATCTTTCATATGTTAGTCGTTCGCCGTCGTCCAGCTACTGGCGCAAGATGGCACCACATCGAATAAAATTTCAATATAAAATCAAAATCGTAACTGGCAACAAAAGTATTTTATTATAACTTTCGACGAAATAGCGACTGGGTAAACTTTAAATTATATTAACAGTCCATAATTTGTTACGTCTTTCTAAATTATAAACTACGAGCAATCATTATCAAGTTTTCATAGTGTTTATCATTTGTTTGAGTGCATTTTGGCGACTGCGCCTGATAGTTATCGAGGCTTAAGGCATTTTCATTGTTTGTATTCTTCCGTGAGTATAAACATTTGTACAAATTGTTCACAAACCAATCCACTTTTTTATCAATGACTTTACTTTCTTCTTAGTCTCTTTTAGCTCTACGGATTTTATTTCTGTATCCGGGTATGTGAGCAGTGTAGCACGGCCAGTATTTGCAATGACAAACGCAGGCGCATCATCTGATAAGTTTTCTACGACACCAAGTTTCCGGTAAGGGTCGAATTCGCTATTCACAAAGACCACTTTTGTTACGTTTGGATGTAGGGCTCCATACATTTCGTTTGTAGTCTTAACCCCGTCTTCGACTCTCTTTTTACCAAATTCGGGCCCAAATTGTACTTCACATGCCTTGTAGTAGTATTCCACTGATAGACAATTGGTAAAAGGATGCTTACCTTCTTCTGTGCTCGGGAAAGATCCGAATTCTGTACACATTTGATACAACCAAGGATTTTTTATTGGTCTGTTGAACTTGGAATCAAAATCATAATTATTACACGAGTCTTGTCCATCCTGTACAATATAATCACGTTTCGACTGGAGTAATTTAGACTTAAAGCTGGTATCATTGAAATTTTTCTCGCATGTTAATTTTAAATAATCACCATCATCAGCAACATCAGAAAATAGTCTGAAAAAACCTAAATAATTGTCGAAAAATACTTGTTGATTTTCTTTCTTGGACATATCGACAAAATCACATATCTCATCTTCTTTTTTAAGCTGTTTTATACCTTCCGGAGTACTAAGTAGAGTTTGAAATTTATTAAACAGTTTGGCTATTTTGTCGTAACAACCCGGAGTGCCGTATTTCAAAAAATTTTCCCCAACAATTTCATAGAAATCTTTAAAGTCTGCCTTGGCTAGAACGGGTCCACTAACTGAGACTGCTGCGTCTACTAAGTCGCTATAGAACAGCCTCATCCATGTAGCCAAATTCCCTGCATTTCCTACCATAGTTCCACCAACCACAACGACTTTTGAATTTTCAGCATTCGACATGGACTTGACGTATTTGATTAATTTTGCTACATCAGCAAGAGCTTGTTGCGAATTTAAATATTTTAGGTTCTCTGTCTTTGTAAGGTCCAATGGTGTATTATTCCCGTAATACCTGTGTTCTATACCGAACAAAGCCCCATTGGTTTCGTTCACGAGGTCGTAGAGAAAGAATCCCTTCTTGAAAATGGAGGTTTGAACTATGTACGGAAAAGGACCACCAATGTTTATATATATCGGTCCATTTGGCTTCCAAAATTCTAGATTTTGAATATACATCATGTTCCAAGTTCTCGTGTCTTGCGCATCGAAATGGTTCACCGGTTGTAGAATCCTTTTAAATTCATTCTTACCGATCCCCTGCGATTGAGAAATATATCCTTCCAAGTCCAGATGGTGATGTTTAAAGCAATCTACATTGCTTAGAAATATCACAGCGACTATCTTTAAAAATCCTATTACGTAGAACATTGTTCATCGATGCCAACTTTTTATCAAACAATTAGTAGTTAAGTAAAGACAAGTTGTAAAACTGTCTGATTATATACCTAGTCAGAAAACACGGCTGGTTGTTTTCTATAGTAATTTTATGAATTTGTTTTATTGTACTTACATACCTACATAGTACATACTCAATTTTATGTTAGTGGAAATATTTTACCATGAAATCGTTTTTGAGAAAACAATTTTGACATAATAATTTGTTCGGTCAAGAGTGAGTTGTTCGTAACCTAGAGCATATAGGACTGGAGGCGTCATCGATAGGTAGTCCCATTTGTCAAGATACAAGTAAAAAAATACCTACGCACAATAAACACTACTTTAGAATCGATGTTTTTTCATTTCCATTATCGAATTCACCGTGTCGAGTGCTCCACGAAATATGTCGTCTTGGGCCATAATAACATGCAAAAAAAAATCAGCTACGTCTGGCCTTAGCTGGATTAAAATTCATTTACGTGATTAACTAGTACGTAATACAAATTGACACCATCATGTCGATTACTAAACGTCTCTAGCGGTAACCTAACACGAACTCGAAAATTGTTTTGGCCGAAATAACGTTTGTACGAATATTCATTACACCGAAAACCGAATTATAACGAAACAGTTGTTCTTTCAGGATATGTTGAATGTTTATCGCAAAGACACGATTAGGTTCGGTTAGGTTAGAAAAAAACATTTTCCTCTCAAAATTACTTTCGAGGTTACGAAATTTCGACCAAACATTATTTTCTGGAAAATGTCGTTTCGGACTAGTGATAAGTAACCGTCTCTAGCATATTCATGAGGATCGATGATTTTTTATAGGCCTATGTACGGACGCGGACATAATATGAATTTGTGTTTTATCTGCGTATTTGTAAAAATTAGCTAGTGTTGTCGAATTTCGTTTGTGTGAGACAAGAGAGTGTCAAGTATTTCACACTTGCTATGTTTCAAAGTTGTTAAGTGCCTTATTCTATAGTCCATTTGTTTAGGTACTTAACTAAATGTAAACAATCTTGATACATCTTTTTATTGAAACACATGCTTTACAAATCAATAGGTATAAAAATAGGCATGCAATTTCATATGAAGCTAAGTATTTGTATTTTGTATTTGAAGGTAAGGGAAAATCATTTTATAAAAGTATATTTCATTAAATAGACATCACAAGATTGTTTACATTTATTTAAGTACCTAAACAGATGGACTATAGTCTGTTTTTTTCAAGACGGAGTAAAATAACAGTTCATTGTTCAAAAGTGTTGCCCGCTTGCGAGCAGCTAGTGCTTGCAGTCGATAAATACTCTATCGACTATCGATTGAATATTGGTCATGCTTATGGAATAAATAGCCGAACTTGTTTCATTTGAAACATCCTCGACCCATTATTCATCCAATTACTCCAGGACAAGTTCATTTGAATTGTCAGTTGTTGTGGATATAGAATTGCTTGTGAAAAATGAAAAGATGAGACATATTTTAAACTTTTTCATTTTAATTAATATACATACATACATACATAAGCTCACGCCCTAGTTCCACAGGAGGTGTAGGCAGAGACCACGGAACGCCACTTTGCTCTATCTTGACACAACTCACATACATCAACTACCCTTTTCACACTGACTCCTGTAACACAGGTTATACCTAGCTCAGGTGTCAGGGACTTCACTATTGTGTTGTAACTATTTTGTAACAATAAATATTATTATTATTATTATTTTCGTATTTATTTTATTTTATTATTATTATTATTATTATTATTATTATTATTTTCATACAACTTCTTTTATTCTTGTCACTTCGGATCCCAGCCTTTTTGTGAACATCACTGATCTGATCAATGTAAGTCCTTCTGAGACGTCCTCTCAAAACACCTCCATTCATATTCGCATCATAAATCTGTGTGGTAATTCTTCTTACATCCATCCGCTCTACATGCCCAAACCACCTCAACATTCCTTTCTCTATTCTGGTCACTACGTCCTCTTTCACGTATTATTTTATTCTTCACTCTATCACTTAACTTTATTTCACAATTTTTCCTCAAAGGTCTCATCTCCACTGCATTAATTCTACTTTCATGCTTCTTCTTGCCATACCCAACTCTAACTGCCAAACATGAGTGTGGGAACCAGCAAAGCATTGTGTATGGAAACGTGTGCTTTTTTGGATAAGATGTTGCTCCCCATTAGATCATTTATGGCTCCATTTACTGCGTTTCCATTTCGTACCCTTCTTTCAATGTCATCATCAAACTTTCCATCTCTTGTAAAGACAATCAAACTCGGCTTTACTTGTTAAAATGTATAAGAATAAAAATTTATTTCGTTACTAAAAAACCAACTGTCAAAATAAGAATAAAGAAGGCAATAATACAATTAGTAATTATTAGAACGTCGTAAAATTGACAATGTAATCATTTTTGACAAAATTTTATCTTCTTTCACAATCTATCGATGAAATTATCGACAACAACACATAACTATTTAAAATGTTATAAAAACTGGCAACCTTTCAAATGTCATTTTACTCCGTCATCAAAAAAGACGAATTATAGGTATTTGAATTATCAATTAGTGGATTATTAACTTCACTAATACTGAAAATCTTAATCGTTAATTAGTCAAAGAAAACTAAATATTGTTTCAAATATTCTATTTTTTTTATTTTATTATTATTATTTATTGCTCAGGAAAAAGCCATTCATTGCCCGTGGTCCAACTGCGTAGTCCAACTAGTAAGACCAAGGGCAAAGTTTCTTGCCCGTGTTTCTACCAGTAGGACTACGGGCAACATTGTATGGGCATTGAACCTATTGATCGGTTAGTACAGTCACCGTCAATATTAATAATCTTACTGGTTCTGAGCTAAATACAATTGTTCTCTAGGATGATCCCTGTGACAGTTCATAAAAAATCGCAAGATATAATCTTGTAATAACGTGCACTGTTTAATGTATTTAATGAATTATTTTTGTAAGCATCGCTTTTAAGTGAAAATATTATATGGTGCGTACAGTCATTGAAAAGCGCCGCAGCAGGCTTTAAAACCCAACGTCATATCTAAAAAGGGCTCTGGCCACACTTTAAACAAAGTATTCCCAAGGAGGATAAATCGCATCTTTAGTGTAATAAGACCACATTTGCAAAATGACAACGAAAGAAATTAGTCTATAACTTTTTATGCTTAAATTGGAGTTATTATATTTTCACATATACATAATTTGTTTCATGTAGTTGATATTATTTTTATGACTTTCGTGTCATAAAAGCAATTTTTGACATAAATGATCACATGTACCAAACCACTATACACAGGGTGCGAAATATCCTCTCTTGTTGACATTTGTCTTCAACAATTTGGTATTTTTGAACAAGTTTATTCATACGAAATTAATAAAAATAATCATAAATTTGAGATGTACAAAATTTTTGGAAATAATTATCAAAATATCACAAATCTAATAAATTCATATTTCATATTTGTAAATCCACTCACCGAAGTGGGTGGTTCGAATTATGTGTCCGAGAGTATATTATGTACCTAATATGCAAGTTGTGATGATTTTTCTATACATATATTCGTTAATTGGTGCCCTACCGAATACTATAACTTATTAACATTAAAATTTAAGGGCGACCTTAATTTGTGTTTTGGGGCTGTCCTGAAATTTTTTTTAAAATCATTAACTAGGTATTTTAAGGGATTGCCGAGTCTGAAGAAAGAATGTCTGTTAATAAAATAATAACTATTATAATGTCCACAAATGCTTGAAATTCACATAGAGGTATGTTATCAATGGTTATTTCAAGCAATTCAAGAAATATAGTGCATTTAAAAAATATTTTCATTCGCATTAGTTTTAAGGTTCATAAAATTAAATATTTAGTTGTCTACTAACAATAAAACAAATTCACAAAATTGCCTTAGAAAAATACCCGTCGTGTTTGTCTTTATATTCAGAAACTTCGAGAACAGTGTCAAGAGTTTACTTCCATTAAAACAATGTTTAACATCATCAGATTTTCAAAGATATTCACAGTGATATTCCTAAACCTTCACACCATAAACCGCTTTGGACACCATGAACTGACCAATGAGAAACTTTTCATTCGTCAGTTGGATGCTGGTAAGAATGAAATCAAAAATATTCAACAACCGGTGGATCATTTCGATGCGAAAGAAACAAGAACTTGGAACATGACGTATATTCAAAATCTAGAATTTTGGAAGCCAAATGGACCGATCTACATAAGCATCGGTGGCGCAAGTTCATATAAAACTCAATTAAATATTTTCAAAAAAGGATTCTTTCTCTACGATCTTGCCAAAGAAACCAATGGGGCATTGTTCGGCACAGAACACAGGTACTACGGGAAAAATACCCCATTGAGCAACACAAACACAGAGAACCTAAAATATCTAAACTCACGACAAGCTCTTGCTGATGTAGCAAAGTTAATCAAACACGTCAAGTCAAAATTGAAAGCTGAAAATTCTAAAGTTGTGGTGGCTGGCGGGAGTACGTTAGGCAACGCAGGGAACCTGGCTGCCTGGATGAGGCTGTTTTATACGGACATAGTAGACGCTGCTGTGTCAGCTAGTGGACCTGTTCTGGCCAAAGCAGACTTTAAAGATTTCTTTGAAATTGTTGGTGAAAATTATTTGAAATATGGCACTTCGGGGTGTTACGACAAAATAACCAAAATGTTTATAAGATTCCAAACCTTACTTAGTACCCCTGAAGGTACAAAACAGCTTAAAAAAGAAGAAGAGATTTGTGATTTTGTTAATATGTCCATGAAAGAAAATCAACAAGTATTTTTTGAATTCTATTTGGATAAGTACATACTTTCGGCTTATGTTGCTCCGGACGTCACTTACTTTGAAGATGAATGCGAGAAAAATTTCAACGACACTAACTTAGAATCTGACTTATTTCTCTCAAAACCTGATTATGTAGTACGTGATGAACAAGGTTGGTGCTATAATTTCGATTTCTTTCAACTATTCAACAGAAAATTCAAAGATTGTTGGTTGTACCAACAGTGCACGGAATTTGGGGCTTTCCCGAGCACAGAAGCGGGTAAGCATCCATTTACCAACAGTCTACCAGTGGAATACTACTACAAGGCATGTAAACTACAATTTGGACCTGAATTTGGTAAAAACAGAGTGGAAGATGGAATTAAGGCTACAAACGAAATGTACGGAGGTCTTCACCCTAATGTAACAAAAGTGGTCTTTGTCAATGGTGAGTTCGACCCTTGGCGAAGGCTGGGTGTCACAGAGAATCTATCAGATGATGCTCCAGCGTTTGTCATTGCAAAATCTGGCCGTGCTGAACTGCTGATACATCCGTATATGGATGTAGACTCTGATGAGCTAAAAGATGCTAGGAAGAAAGTGAAGTCTTTGGTAAAAAAGTGGATTGGTTTGTAAAATACAATACAGGACAGCGCAAATATTTTCGGGTAGTATTAAAAACCGCTTGCAGCGCGCTGCAGCATGTCTTATTTTTATTTTTTACTGTTTTGCATATATAAACGTGCAAATATTTTCGGGTAGTAATAAAAAGCGCTGCAGCCTAGCTTACTTTTCTTTTTTACTGTTCTGTACTTAAAATAATAACGCATAGAATGATAGTTTCATATCAAACGAACTGTCACAAGTGAGGCAAAAATCAAATTCATGTAGGTTAATTTTAGTAGTAGGTTAATTTTCGGTTTTAGTGAATATTTATATAAAAATACAAGTTGAAACGCGTTACTTCCTTGTGGAATGTGATGTTAGTATCTATTTTATGTTTGTCTGAAGTGTTTTTACACTCATTTACCGCACAATTCGTCATTTTTAGCTAAAATTCTTGATCTGTTCGCGGTGCAAGTTGACCTTGAGCACTGAATGCCCGCCCGCTCGTGTAGGCCCTTTGGGAGCGCTTCAATTTGCCTCACTTAGCGTGTGCGGACCAGGTTTCTATGTGTTATCATTCTAAGGTTCTGTATATTTAAATGCGCAAATATTTTCGGGTTGTAAGGGTTTTTTTATTTATTCAATTTCAAAAAGATTTACACAAAGCGACTCTTCTTTGCCACTACATTTGAATTTTTCTATTTATTTTAAAATCCTTATCAAGGGTTTTAATTTGGATGCTTTACTTTAAGAATAGATAAAGGCCAGTGTGTAATTCTTTTTTTTAATATAATATCAAGTGACAGGACGGACAAGTCGTGCGCCTTATGGTAAGCTACATGCCTGTCCATAACAGTTGCATTGCCACTCAACAGGACTAAAAAGGCCGTATTGGCAGAATCATAATATGATTAATTGACAATTCATATTATGAATTTCTTGCAATTAATATAACGCAATTCATCTAATTGACAATGTTCTATGGAGGTTTCAAATTGCGTTCTTTGTTTTGTTTGAAAATTCATAATATGAATTGTCAATTAACCATATTATGATTCTGCCAATGCGGCCTATATAGCTCTGCACTTTAAATTGCAATGACTGCACTGCCACTGCGCCTGTCACTCTGAGACGTAAGTAGACTCGTGTGCCAGTAAGTTCACCAGCACCCTTCAAAACTGGAACACAGTAATTTAAATCGCAAAGATCTGAGGGGCATTGCCACTGCGCCCATCACCCTGAGACAAGTCCCATGTGCCTGTAATTTCAACAGAATCTTTACCCCTCAAAACTGGAACACATTAATGCTGACATTACCTACTGTTTGGCGGCAGAAATACTGCCGTCCACTAACAAAAACGCAGCTAAGTGACAAATGGTCAAATAATAATAATAATAGTAACAGTAACGGTAACAGTAAAAGTAACAGTAACAGTAACAGTAATAGTAACAGTAACAGTAACAGTAGCAGTTACAGTAACAGTAATAATAATAATAATAGTAATAGTAATGAAGTGTCTAGAATTTGGCGACAAGAAAAGATATATGTTATCCCAATTGTTCTTTCCACAACAGGCATTATTCCTAATAATCTTCTCCATAGCCTTAAATTATTAGGGTCTAAAGAAAGCCTCTACATAACCTTGCAAAAAGCTGTAATTTTAAATACATGCCGTATCGTCAGAAAGTTCATGCAGATGGAAGAAGACGAAGTAGTATCTTATTGCACACTCACCACATACTCGTAGATAGACGCCATACTGCATTTACTTGACTTCGGTCCGTAAATGCGTTTCAAACCAGCTAACAAGCCGAGAAGAATAAAGCAATTAATAATAATAACGCCCACACTCAACATAACCCCGCACTAGGAAAACCCTGTGTCGCGGATGCCATGGACACACACGTAGACAACCACAAATTACACCCAAACTCACGAGAGAAATAAATGTAGGCCATACAAATATTTCTGCCGGCCTGGGAATCGAACCTGGGACCTCTGCGTGGCAGATGATAACCGTTCGGAGGCAGTCAAATATCCGTTAAATAGAAAAAAAATAGAGCACAACGACTTTTTCGGAACCTACCTTAACGATGCATAGCAGAAATATCATTACACAATTTCAACATTCTAAAACTGGGTTACGGTTTTTTATGATATCTCAAGAAATTATTTTGTCACATAGCCGTGTTTTAATTTTTATGTAGCTACGGTCGTACCTTTAACTCATACTTAAATAAAATATATAACCTACAAGTTAATATTCTAAGACACATTGTATCAAATAAAATCCGACTTCAAATGAAGGATAATGATATTGGTCTTTTTAAACATTGTAGAATCTTACCTGTTTATACCCAATTTACGTATATGTTTTTAAAATCTATGTTTTTTAACAACGATCTTAAACAAGTAATAAATCACCCCGTGTGTACGCGAGCGATGGCTGAGGACCGGTTGCTAACGAGTCGCGCAAATAGTGTGTACGGCGAAAGAACATCTACCTTCCTTCTTCCCCGACTTATTAATAAGTTACCACTGGAACTACGAAATACCTTAACAACCATTAATATAAAACATAAACTTAAAGATTACTTTGTACAAAACTTAAAAAAATGTGATGAACATTTAATATAATAAGATGAATGTATTTACCCAATCCTATTAATTTTAGTAACATATATATTATAGATTATTTATACAAATTACTTAAATATTTACACTTAAATATAAGCTTCTGCTAGCATGTTCAAATTTGTATTGTGTAGATACAGGTCGCATTATGACAAACCTTAGTGCGGACAATTTGTTTTCCGAAATAACATTTGCTCGAATTTTCATTACACCGAAAACCGAATTATGATGAAATTGTTGTTCTTTCAGGATATGTTGAATGTTTAACGCAAAGACACGATTAGGTTCGGTTAGGTTAGGTTTAAAAGAAAAAACATTTTCCTCTCAAAATTACTTTCGAAGTTATGAAATTTCGACCAAACGTTATTTCTGGAAAATGTCATTTCGGACTGATAAGTAACCATGGCTTATTTGAATAAATAGGAATCGCGCGCAGCCAGTTATCTCTGCCGAAATGTGTCTTACTTTTAAAAAAGGCGGGGTTTTGTAGTTACGATTTTTATATGAATTAATTTTTAATTTAAGTTTTAGTAGAAGTAGAGCTCGATGTAAGAGTTCGTCCAGGGAAGTTTTGCCACCGTCATTTTTTTAAAGTAGACTATAAGACCACGGATTTGTATATTAAACGGACCGCGCACTAAGTTAATAAAACGAGCCGAGTGAGAGGCTTCAAAGTAGTAATGCATCTCTTTCTAATAGGGTGTTCACTCAGGTTCCAACCATCCATATTGTTTTTAATTTTTACAGAAAATGTGGCCGCTTATGAATGACCATAACTAATTATTATTTCACGATACAAATTAGTATACTTATTTGATATGCTACTTCATAATAGAAGGTATCATTGTTGATATATTTTTTTTGTATTATTACAGTAAAAGCATATTTATTATTATATTATATAGCATATTATTTAACCTAATTTTATTTAAGCAAAGTTTAAAAAAGTTAATAGACTAGAATAGAATAGAAGATGATTTTTTTTAAATTTATTAAGGCTTTGGCAAAGCCATCAGCCTAAACATGAAGTTTAATTATGTTTCTGTAATCATGGCCGCCACAAAGAGGATAGGCAATTTGAGGCGGCGTGTTTGGATTGACTCGGGATTCCTTAAAACGGGCCGATACATGTATTTTAGTTCGAAATTCGTATAATTTCGCATTTTAATCTTCGATTAAGGCACAATAGCACTATCCTATTCCACTTTAAACTAGATTTCACAAAATAATTGAAAGTCAAAATAAAAACGACGCTTTTCCCTCCAAAATGTCCAGAGCGAATCCATGACTTTATTTAGCGTAGGCAACTTGTTAGACAAGGACATACCACTACATCGAGGTATCT